CGATCATTTGCTGACTTTGCAAAGCTGAGTTTCAAGCTGCAATAATATGAGTTGTATACTAATGGGTGATTTTTTGCTAGTATCTTTTTGGCAACACTGTTTTTGACAGATGACGCGCGAATCGTGTCTTGTGTCATTGTCAAACTTGTTCAGTTTGGTCTATAATTTAACCATGAATTGACTTACGAACGAACAACGCTTGCAAATTATTGAATTTTACTATCAAAATTCATGCTCGGTTGAGAGAGTGCATCGAGCACTGCTTCCAATTTATGGGCAATTTGGTCGGCCTACTGAGGGAGCTATTCGGAAGCTTGTGACTAAATTTCGAACCCAGTTTATATTTTTGGACATTAAACCACCAACACGCAGACGTAAAGTGAGGACTGAAGAAAATATTGCGGCTATATCCGCCAGTGTTAGTGATGATCGTGAAATGTCGATTCGCCGCCGTTCGCAGCAATTGGGCCTCTGTTACTCCACTACGTGGAAAATTTTGCGACAGGATTTGGGTGTAAAACCTTACAAGATACAGCTGGTGGAAGAATTGAAGCCACACGACCTCCCACAACGTTTCCAACTTGGTGAATGGGCGCTGGCAAAGTTGGAGGAAGATCCACATTTTTATCGAAAAATTGTGTTCAGCGACGAAGCTCATTTCTGGTTGAATGGGTACGTTAACAAGCAAAATTGCCGCATCTGGAGTGAAGACCAGCCAGAAGCATTGCAAGAGCTACCAATGCATCCCGAAAAAATCACTGTTTGGTGTGGATTATGGGCCGGTGGCATCATCGGGCCGTACTTCTTCAAAGACGACAATGGCCGGAACGTAACTGTGAATGGCGATGGTAACAAACTTTTTTTTGCCCAAAATGGAAGAGCTGGACTTGGGTGACATGTGGTTTCAACAAGACGGTGCCACATGCCACACCGCACACGAAACAATGGCCCTATTGAGAGGCGAGTTCGGTGAACAGTTTATCTCACGTTTGGGGCCCGTCAATTGGCCGCCTAGATCCTGTGATTTAACGCCGTTGGACTATTTCTTGTGGGGCCATGTTAAGGCTAATGTCTACAGGGATAAACCAGCAACGATTGACGCACTGGAAGCCAATATTGAAGCATTTATTCATGAGAGACCGGCCGATGTGTTGGAGAGAGTGTTCCAAAATTGGACCTTACGCATGGGCCATCTAAAGCGGAGCCGCGGCCAACATTTACATGAAATAATCTTTAAACATTAAATTATATCGACCGTTCTATCGACTCAAATAAAGATTTAATCGTTTTCTCAAATTTTTTGTGTTTTTTTTGAAAATCAAATCCTATACCTCTTAAAAAATCACCCGTTATAAAGCCATAGGGTTGTGATTGTTCGTCTAGCTTAGCTCGGGAGCCATAGGTTTTGACTTGACCGAGTTCAGATCACTGAGAGCATGATTTGGAACAAATACGTACCGCTAGTCGCATCAGCTGTTGGGATGAAGGTATCTGCTTAAACCTAGTGCGTACATTTCGCCATCGACCCTACTCAATCTGAACTTGGATGCTATATGACATGAGCATTACGAAAAATTATGTCACTCAATTTCCGTCCTTCTGTCTGTCAGTCCGCTGATCCTTGGACCCTCTATAAATTGGTAAGTACCGCTTCCATTTTGATGAAATTCTGACACAACCTTGCTACCGTGTCAAGGACGAAAAAATATTTAGGTTTTGAAAATTAATCCAGTGGTAGATATTGTACGTTGCTTTTGCTTTTTTGTATCATAAGTAAATTCAAATTAGTTTTTACGTACTAAAATAACATATACGGAGCGGAGGATATGTCACTGGTATAGTTTTCAGAGAAATACATTATTATTTGCTCCCAGCAATATCACGCGTAAAATAGATAAGATATAATATTCACACAAACATTGCCCGTTTGCCATTGAAACAGAAATGTAATAGATCTATGTTTTTAGTTTGAGATGTAGAACATCAAGGCTTCGCAATATAATAATAATAAACGTCTTTATTGTACCACAATTGGTATAACATATCGTAGTTAATTGAATGTAGCTAGTCAGGTTTCGATTTTATCAGAGAGTTTTGATTGAACGTTGTGTCAAGTAGGTCGACTTATATCCCGCTTTGGTCGATTTCTCCCGAGTCATAGGTCTGGAAATATACCGAACACAATGTAATTGACGACAGAATGGCGTGGGGAGTACAGTAAACCTACTTGACGCCATTTTTCCTCTTTACGATTTTGTGTTATCCAGTGAAAACGTATGACGATCATGAAAAATCCATTTCCTCGACACCAGTCCATGAAAAGGCTTAAACCAGCGTAACTAACAGTGTGACATCGAAAAATTCAAATGAAGCGTGTCTCCCTAATGATTCTTACGTTCTAAATAAATTTAAATGGACTTTCATTGGGACAGGAAGTGATAAATTACCGTAATACTGCGGTATGTGGCGTGACGTTATTTCAGTCAATAATACTTAAATGGTTCTAAGTATGCCGAGAGGAGTATTTCAATATCCATGTTGTAATCAATCATCCACTAAGTACCTACTTTGTAACAGTTAATATTTTAGTTGAATGTGGTTTATTATAGTAATCGCAAGCACACAAACTTTTCATTAAATAGCTTGAAAAACAATTTCTGTATTCGACCAGAAGGATTCTTACTACGAAGTAGCGTTTATATTTGAATCCCTGGAATAGTTCACTGGAGAAAACTGGCAAATCAGAAGAGGGGATTTGTGTCAAAGGGGCGACTGGTTATTGACAACACACATTGACATCTTTTGTATCTTATGACTATGTGATAGCCCCAAAGATATGTAAAGAAGCGGGGATAGCTAATTTCCTCAGTGGGAGAAAAATATTACAAATCTGGAACATGGGGCAGAGAACTATGCTAAATTTGCAAATATTAAGAGTCAACCAGGTTCTCAAGGACAGCCATGACCTGGTGTTTTTCTTTTTCTACTACTACCACGAAGGCCTAAGGCCTAAGCACCCATTGGGTACCGTGGGGCTATAGGGGGGAGGGGGAGGACGCCACACGGACTCTGGCGAGGGAACACGTGTGCATGCAACATGCACACATTCTGGCTCCGCCTACGAAAATCGCCAGGTGGTACCTCCGCGTTCGACAGTCAGAGACCATCTACCACCTACGCACAATCACAACATCTATAGCCAAGAGAAAAATTTCTCCGGGGACGGGACTCGAACCCGCACAGCGCACGGCGACTGATCAGGAGACCGAAGAGTCTACTACTGCGGCCAGCGCTGCTACCGACTAATTGAATGAGTCATTACAAAAAACCACTAAAGTCTATTCTTTACTAACCTGACTTTTTTACTGAAAACGCTTCACTAAAGGTAGATAAGTATTCTGGATATACACCTCGTGAGTCACTACATTCATTCCCCTTGAGATAACAACACGTAAGACACACTCAATGCTAAAACATTGTAAGTCCAGGACTTACGTGGTTTTTGCATGCACTGCTCGATGGCGGGTACTTGATTCGGCCATTTTATTATATTTTCATATTCATATGCTATAGCTATACGCACCAAAATTCCACGCTTTGCCAGAGATGTATTGTTCTTGATGCCTGGTAGTAAAAAAAGCTCGAGCGTTCTTTTACAACCGATTATTGAAGAAAGTTGAATAAATAAGTCTATGTATTTTTTCACTATAGTCGACTGATAGTTTCGGTGTTTGGTTACCCGAGTTTCCCCTAGGTACCTCAAAAATTTTAGAATATCCAAAATTATGTACACATTCATGTGGTACCTTAATTAGTCAATATTTAAGCGTAATTTTCAGTAATAAGCAATGTAAGATATTAATATGATTCTCTTGCTTAGTTAGATATCACTAACCCAATTTCCTGCTTCACGTCCATATTAGTTTTTTGAGCTTCTTTCACTATTATTATTATTATTATTATTACTTTACTGTGAAGGTTATTCGAAATTCTAACATTTTAGAATTCAAATACTCAAAAGAGCCCCAAAAGTACTTTAAAACTGGTTCAATTTATCAGTAACAGTTTTTATTGTCTTCTCAAAAATTGAAATTATAGGTCTTTTTGCACTCACCGATTCAACTGCATGGGCCTATTTGACTGACTTGATCCATTAAATTCCTTTGTTTATCATACATAATTCTTTATGGACTGATGACAGCGTTGTGTGTGGAGTGCAGGGCCAACCTACTTGATATTTTTTACGGACTTGAACATTCCTTCATTTGACTGCCTAGGTATATCCGTTAGTCTGACTACAGCTAAACTCACTACTTTTACAGCTACTATCAAAGTAACCGAAACGTTTGTAAGCTCGATGTGGTTTTAACCGGCCAGCATAACAGAAGCGAATGATTTTCGTTTTCAGTTTGCTTCTCACTGCATTTGTTCCAAACTACAATTTTACCAAGTAGTCAGCATTTTAATATTCGCTCTTCTGTAACCACATACACGTAATTACATCAAACATGAATTCCGCAATAGGGCGAGATCAGCACAAAACTTGCCCAAGCCCTTGAGAGGCAAAGAGAGGCAGAGAGAGAGAGAGAAGGCTTATTTGGTTACTTCAGCAAATAAGGCTAATAATTTATGTGGCGGTATTAAAGTTTTAATGGAACTTCAAACTTCGTAGATAAATGCTAAAGTTACAAGTTATAATGGATTATTAATATTGCTAAGAATGAAAAATGGCTGCGCTGCGCTTAGCAGTCTGAGGAAAGTTGCGATCCGCGATCAAATGGAAATGTATTAACTTCAACTTCCGTTGCACATGGGTAACGACCAAAAATGGAAACTTTACTCGTAAATAACTTTTTTGCGACTAGAACACTGATCGTGTTTTACATAAACGTGTGACGGCGACGAGTTATTACACCAGGCGAGATCATTTGTGCCTAGTGATTTTCACTGCATAGAGAACATTTCAGGAGTCAGTTTATGAACCTTTTACAAATATTTACTTCATAGTTGAACCTAGCAACTGCTATATTTATACATGGTGTCCTGGAATAAGATAACAACCTTTCAGATCCATATAGAAGTTCCAATAGGGCTTCCCTACGGTGATATCGGCACCTAGATAACTCTACTGGGATTGAAATCGAAATTTTGACAGCCCAGTTACCAATTAGCTTTTCACAGGATAGTACTCGTACTATGTAGAATAACTGATTTATTTCGATCGTCAGGACTAGCTTTGAAGTAATATTGCCGTTACCACAATTGTTAGGAAATGATATTTCAATCCTTTAACTGAAAAAAATAACCTCGTATGATTTTTACAAAATGAGCCATTTTTGAGAAAAATATATTCTGGTTTCAACAGTTTCATCAATATTGGTACTGATTCCATCTTTCTGAATACGTGGTAACCCTTTGGCCCCGGACTCTGGAGTACCGGGAGACGAGAGAGTCGATAATCTGGCTAGGCAGCGGGCTAGAAGATCCTGAATCACGAGCCTAGTTTGGGGATAGGCAAGCGTCGGGTTAACGCCACATTGAGCGAATTAGCGTAGAGGGACCTGAGAATGATGTGGTGAGAGAAAGATAACTGCAGGCATGGCAAGACAAACGTCGGACGCGCTGGTTGCTGGACAGAAATAGGTAATAACTCAATCTTTTGGTGGGGGTCCTTACTGGTCTCTGTAGACTGTACAGGCACTCGTCCCAACTATGAGTAAAAAGATTCCTTATCTGCTCCATGTGCGGGGAGGAGGACGAAACAGCGTTTCACTACCTATACCCTATTTCACGAGTATCCATCACGCTTTGACGTCTACTGAGGTGAACAGCTGATCAGCAAGTGACATTTTTGTGTTAGTGCAAAGGTTGGCAATACTGAATCGGGTATAAATCTAGTAAAACTTGTTTGTGGCGTCTTGTTTTTTGTATGCAAATGAACTATTCTAACTAGAAGAGCGGTTTGCAAGTACAAAATGAATCTGTAGCGTACAAAACAAAATACGGGTCTGACTACCTTACGTTGACGGATCCTTCAGAATTATGTCTCCTGTGCCGATATGGGGAATTGTGAGCTATTACTAGATAATCAGCTGTCATTCTACTGTGATGGATACTCTTCGAATATGGTATAGGCTTTTGCGCCGTTTACTACAACCTAAGGGCTGAGGTATTCGGAGCGGTGGAGTTTGATAGTGATGTCTCTCATTCAGCGGAGTGGTCAGACATCCTGGCCTTCATTAAAAGATCAGAGACATTCGACAGACAAAAGGATAAGCATGTAGAGTGTTCGTTTACTTGAGGTCGGCAAAAAGGTCAAAGGTACTACTACTAATTCTGAAAGCAGAATCGTAATTAACAAAGTTTAAAATGTCTCTTTCTTTGGATCATTGATATAAAATATTATATCGGGCAGGCCTAGTCCGGGCCTGAAGATCTCAGTCAACTGCTATCAAAATTTTGTTGGATCATAGGTATGTTCAAAAGTTATCTAAAATGTATTTCCGTAGGATATTTTTTTAAGGAATTTGTTTATCTTCTATGATTGTCTTTTAACATCCGAAATATTAATCATTTTGAGGTATTATGTATGCTAAATGTTATATGATATGTACGTTACGAAAAATCATGTCGGTCTGTCTGTCTGCTAATTTTGTAACCGCCTATAATTTGAGAAGTACCGCCACGATTTAAATGAAATATCCACACAAAGTTACTACTATGCCAAGGATGAGAAAGATTCGTAGTTATTGAAAATCGGTCTAGTGGCGGCAGAGCTTAAAAAAAATCGCTTAAATTTTTTTTTGGTAGGGGTTGAAACGTGGGGTTTGGGGGTTGTGAGGGACAGGTAGTTGTAAATGTGACGTTTTAGTGTTACTCAAAGACGTTCTATCATTGAGAAGCTTCTGATCCCGGTAACAACTGGAAAATTAAATGATAAAAAATAAATTTAATATTAAAAAGATGGATTTATAATGTGCTTATAATTCGAAATAATTGCAATCGTTGGCGATGCGTGCATGGCGCGATGCTGCATCGTCGTGGAGGCCACTGCCGACTGTGCAATGGGTAACAAACTCCAACTGGTCCACGGTGGTGTCGTCACTGACATACAGGAGAAATATTTATATATTTTAGCAATGTTTGGATATTAGGAGTTCGTACCATATCAGCGTTCCGCGATGTTTTTGTAAATGATGACTTAACTGTTTTTATATCTACACACATATTAGACTATATTTTATGATCCTTAAATGTACCACCCATTTCGTCTAACCTTTAATTTGTGTTACTCCATCTATGATGGTTCTCTGAATATATCGTCAAATAGATTGACTCAGTACTTATGAGGCACGATATACAACAGACCTGGTCTGACAAACCGACATAACACGTGCTAGAAAACTTGTGAACCTAAGTTCGTGAGTTTAATACTTCTATCATTTAGGTAGTCGTAGATTTTGATTGACTGATTCAGAGGCGGCGGGAATAAAATCGCTGGAACATAGACATTCTTTGGAGGGAATGAAAATTGTAGGTTGGATGCTATCTATATGCGGTGAATGTTTGTAAATTGTTGCATGTTTCCATGCATCTGCCATGGAAGCAGAAATATGACAGATTTGCTTTATATAGTTTAATATGCCGTGGTTGAAGATTCATCGTATCTAAGTGAACCTACCTAATCACGATTCGATTTCGCATTTTAAATCGATTTGACTCATCCCTTTTCTCTCAAACTGCCAACGAAGGCGTAGGAACTGTTGAGTCAATCTACTTGACGCCGTTTTTTCTGTGAGATCCTGCATATTAAGAGTGCTTTCTTTTCCTCATTTTCAACCTTTCGAATTGCAGACTCGTCCATATTACTGGATAACTTGAAGCCTATAAATACCGATGATTACACAGTGAATTGTGAATTCCGTTATGTCAAGTTGATACTAATTAAATTTATTTACGCCGTGGCATGGCAGCAAGTCTATCTTCCTACGGCGACAATAACGGCGATAAATCACAATGAACGTAATGCATGAAATCATGTAAAGACCATCCATCATGTTTAGAAGTGCCATTTCTCAGACAAATTGCTTGCTGTCGTGTCGCCTAAGAATTGCGATGTTGCCAACCTGGCGTTACCATACCTTATCATTCATCATCTTCCTCACAAGTAGTTGAAGTTTGCTTCAGACATGTTGTAGTTCTGTATTTTAGAAGTAAAACAATCAGAAACTAATCAAAATTAAAACAAGGCAGCACAAAGTGCCATCTGTTACCAGAACCCACCACTGCGAAAGTGAAAACATCTGTGGTCGGACGAACAAAAGCTATATTACTCGTTTAATCAAAATAAGTTTGAGGGCTTTCCAGGCCATTCAAAGCGTCACACCGATTCTTACACGTCAGCTGGAGAGAAGACTTCTTCTTGACGAAAGAACCGAAGGTTATCACTCAGTACTCTGATTACAGTGTATTACTTCAAAGATCCAGGACTGTACCTTAACTAATATTTAGAAGGCATCACACCACTTATTTCGGCTTGTAGGAGTGAACCCTGAAGATCATGAAGACATGATTGAGCAAGAACACGTTTCATCAGCCGCAGCAGCTTCTCATCTGCTGGGAAAATCTGATATCCGTCCAGAGCAGGGAACTACTTTTGACTGTCTAACCTCCTCACTCTAAACTAAAGCAGCACTGTTCATATTTGATGCTGCTCACAGGAGGGATGTCTATCTGATCTAGGTATTCATCACGTCAAATAGCTTGATGTTTTCATAAATTACATGACTTGACTTGAAAATACATTTACTTGAAACGTTAGTGCTTGACTTGACTTGATTTTTTGATTGTTCTAGTTGACTTTTCAAGCATTCTCAAACTACAAGACACTTGATGGCAAATAATATTTGTTCTACTAAAGACCTTCAGTAATATTCATTTGTACAACCGATTTTGTATTTTAATGCAAGTAGTCACGTTGGAAATTTAAAATTGTCACGAGACCAAAAAACACAAAATCGGTAGATAGTGTCGTTGAAAACCGGTAACTCAAGGACAAAATCGCCAGGAAGAAAACATCAGGGCCCGCGTAAAAAAGCAGAGGGCGATCAAGGGTTTTTGGGCCACGCAGCGCTATCTATGAAAAGTATATAAGGTTCTGTTGATATAAAAACAAATTAAAATAAAACTTCTTCAATAAAAAGCAACCCAACAACTAACTGTGCATGTTTCTTACAAGAACAAAATATAATTATGTTAATACATATTTAGCTATTATACATGTTGTATAACAGGCACAACTTAAAAATATGATTTAGGAGTGTGGTTCACGATCCGGTCAGTCGTCACCCTAATGTGTCTTAACTTGAGCTTAGCGCATGAAAAGCTAATTTATAATTTTTCATTTTCTTTCTTTCAGCTGATGAAGGAATGTTTTTCACTACGTGAGCTTACAGTTTTATCTTTCTATTATTTGATTTACGATGAACATGTTATTTTGTTCAAAATGTATTGTTTTCTCTGAAACTTGTGACAGATAAAGTCTTTCCGATGTGTCTTTATAATCTACTCGTATTTATATTACAAAAATACGAAGTAATATAAAGACTAATTGGTGGTCTTCTTCAGTACAATGACAATGGGACCGTACAGCCAACGTGAAGCGGTCCAGGGGTTTAGCGCTTTTATGCTGAATAGCAGTGGCCATGGGATAGCATTGTAAGCTTGACAGCAGTTTTCACTTAGCTTTTTGGTTTGATAGTATGTAGATTAACGTCTAAGCTACTCCACGGCTACTGCCATTCACACAAACGCGCTGCATCGCTTTACGTTGGCTGAGCACACCCAATGTCTTCTAGGTGACAGATAAATGAAATACATTGTCATTGTACTGATTCTGTCAATACTTGTAGTTTTACTGGCCAGACAAGCATGGGGGATTATCGATATGTAAACCACAGGATACGTTCAGGTGTTGAATTATTTTCTAATTTTAGCTAAATATAATAAACGTTTTAATTCACATGTGCAATGGGGTCCTATTACGGTTTCAGTAAATGCAAATACTGCAGGGTTCACACTCACATGTCTTATATAATGAGACGTTATTCTAATTCAGGAGAAAGCCATTGATAAAAGGATGAATGTTGTTAATTAGGCAGAAGACCATTGTTCGATGCAGAATACAATATAATCACGACCAACGTAATTTATGTGGTTAAAAATGCGAAACTCGTGACAAGAATCCCAACTACACAGTTACCGTATTATCTTAATTCCATCGTATAGACCTGTAGGAGAGAATTTCTTCGTACTGTTACCACCATTTTGGAGGCGTTTCCCAAATTTGCATGACATGTTATTAATAAATGATTTTATGCAATATGAGTTAGAGGTTTGGGTGACCTAGTGGTTAGCGCGTCGAGCTACTGATCGATCGACCCGAAGGCTTGCGGGTTCGAATCTCTGCCTTGGAAGTTCATGAAAGTTGACTTGTGTGTCACCTGTATTACGCAGCATGGACTCCTACTTCTTATACTTATTAAATCAAAAGTTACTTCATATATCACATGATTCAGCTGTGTCTGAATACAAAATAACAGTGTTTGACTATTGCTGTACAAAATCCTGCTTAATAAACACTTTGAAGACATAGATAAATTTACAGAATTCTCATTCTTTAACAAAGATAATGACTACGAGTATTCGACCACGTTGCGCCGCGGTGATGATAGCAATGCTAGAAGTAGTCCTAATACCCAGAAGAGAGTGCGGAAGCTTCCGGTTAACAATTCTGACTTCTGTAATTTTATTTGTGTCCTCATAGAATTTATTAAGTAAAATTATGTACAGCAACACTGAGACACTGTAATTTTAATAAAATGTAAATTAATTAATTGCTGTTATATCAATCTAGATATTATATCAGATTCGTGTCCGGGCTTCGAGTATCTCGCAAATGCTTATTTTTCGTTGGTACATTATATGATCATTACCGCTAATTTACTGTCCAGGTGCAAATGAAAAAATAAGTTTCTGCAGCTGAACTGATTTATGGTGTATTTCTTGATATAATGTGGGCAGTAGGGGTCCATGTTATACAAACCGTATAATTTTTTTGTAGTTTGAGAGACATTTTACAAGAAACTCACCATATTTATTAGATCCATTGCTTGAGAGACGTTGAATTTGTGACCCACGCTGCGCCCCGGCTGGGTGAAATCGGGTCTAAGAGCTGCATAGGCACTTAAACATTGGTTTTTGCACCATATACACAGACGGGCTAGAGTATTGTATTACCACAATTACATTTGAAGCCAAAGGCATTTCCTGTGTTAGAAAACAAAGCAGACATGGCAGGGTAATATCAAAAAGGTCATTAAACGGTTGTTCGTGCAGAAAATCGTCCGTTCGCAACGCCGACCGATCCGTTAAATAATGCAAACGATATTAATGTGACAAATATCGTGACAGAACAAATAGCAATATTTTGTACGAACTCATGAATACGTAATGACTGTCAGGCAGCATTAAGAATAGATTATCGTTTATGGCCTGTGACACAGGATCGTTTAAATTAATGTAAAACGCGCGAAATAAATTGTAAAATGTGTTGCAGTGGCGTCAACAAGGAAAGATAATCGAACGTAACGCATCAACTATTCACATATAGTTTTACTTTATGCCACTACGCCCATACTATTTTCGTATAACTGTCAGTTGAGGTTCAGGTAATTATTAAGCATCCGATTGACTGTGGACCCCAGTACAAGTTCTTCTTTCCGATAAAAGAACGTATTCTGTTGTGATCGATGGCAATAATTCCAACGAGATATCCCATATTATAATCCTCTTCTATTTAACAGTAGCAAAATAAATTGGGACTATTTTTAACTGCCGTTTCTTATAGTAAAGGATAGAGGTACTGTCGCGAAATTTATAATTTAGTTTCCAACGTTTTTCTATGGATCCGCTAAGTTATCCTACTGTCAAGAGCAAGCTACTTGGCGGAACTTACCCATGGTACACGAACTCGATTCACTGAAACTACAAATGGGGCACCACATTTTCTCTTACATTAGATTGCCTCCCGTTTTAGAATGATGCGTTTTTATCATTCACCGATCGACCAACTCCTATACCTCGCTCGTCGTATCTGGCAGGCTGTCCTTAACCATAACTCCAAACAACGACTAGGCCACTAATGTAGTATGGTCAGCATAGAGAAAACTTCAATTCAATTTAATTTCATCGACTTTATTATAACATATGCATAAATAGAGTACAGTTACAAATGTTATGTAAAAGCAGAGGGCCTAGACAACCTAGGTATCACACCGACAGAGCAGAAAAAAAAGAAAACATATATAATTTAAACGGGAGAAAAAACAATTAAGCGTTTAATAAACGACAGTTTTAGGGCTTCTTAGAAGTCATTGAATTTCCGGTAAGCGAATTATTAATTTCTCTGCATTGTACGTAAAAGAGCGTTGAAATATGTTATGGTTTCAGTTCTTGACAGACATTATTAATTTTGGTCCGAAATTGATTAATTCTAAGGAAATTTTCAGTTGGTGTAGATGCCAAAATGGGAATCCCTTTTGGATTAGTTTAAAGAGGAGGTCTCATTGCCACACATTCCTAAAGTGCATTTGAAACATCCACAAGCAAGATGCCAAAGTTCAATGGAGCGGATCGTAAACTGATAGGGAGATAATCCTGAGGGAAGCCACTTTCTTTGACATCATGATGAGCTCAGAAGTCTTCCGCCTTGCAGAGAAGGACTTGGTTCTCATCATCGCATTAGTTATTGTCACCAAATAAGACACATTTTTCGGAGAGATCAGCTGTCATGCCTTATTGCTGTTTGGATCCTCTCCAGCCGCTTTGCGCACTTTGAGGTCCTCAACGGGACTTAGAAGTTTAGCTGTTGTGTAATGTGGAACCTCGGTAAATTCCACTGATCTGAAGTCAATTTTGTTTTATATATGAGATCATTTTCTCACAGGACAAACAAGATGATTCACTTTAGATGTCCAAGTAGTATTTCTCGCGTTTCAGATACAAAACAATGCACTTGCAACAGTTTAGTCGAAAATTATTGAACCGGTGTGTTACGACAGCTGCTTTGGGTGGGTATTCGCGTTTTTCTAGAGGGCTTTTGGCGTTTTCGGGACGATGGGCGAGGATGACATGTCTGGTACATTAAAAAAGGCAGTTAGCTTCATGCTTGCGGGAATGCCTACCCCAGGCGGTCCGGGGCTAAGGTGGTTTTGCGTGGAGGCATCTTAAAATTCGGAATGATGACTTCGGTCAATCTCAGTATGTTACGGGCCTTTTGGAGTGTTGTAGTAACATACTGTATAAGAATGTGATAATGAAAAGAAAAAACAAACGAACTGTCATCTGGAAGACAGAGAATATATTGTCATTCTACTGACGAAGATCATGTTCCTGATTGAAACCTTATTATCGGCATGTAAACTACAGGATACGTTTTAGATCTTACATTAATTAATTTCGGGTGATTGTCAAATAATGTCAAAAATTGAAAAATACTAGAAAATCTTGAGTTTTGAGCACCCATTTTGGGTGAAATTTGTTGTATTTCAGATCGCTTATCACCTACGCCCCGAACGGAATACCGTTAATTTTACCAGTTACCCTGTTATCCTATTAAAAAAAGAAGCCTTTCCAATGGAAATGCTTGTTGCCACTCCCAAAGTCGCATCAAAAATGTTTAACCAACAGTTTAAACAAATTCGAAAAATTGTTTTTTTCTCGCTCCGATTAAAGGTCTTGCAACAATTTTGGGCCTGGTAACATGCAGAATCAATCAAAGGAGGCAAATAAGATTATGCAAAAAATACGATTTAGAATATTTTTCACAGCAGATGCGAAGATACTACCTGGACTATGTACAAATATAGTTGGCGGTCTTCTGTAGCACACTCCAAATGAATAATTTGAAAAACACTTTCGGTAACCCTATCAACACACCACCACTGCAGCGCATCAGTAAACCAGCTTGATGGTGCTATATTGTTCGAATCCACTCTTTTAATTACGCGCATTTATTTATCGCCTGTTGTGTGTATGTTGTGAGTGAGTGAGATACAATGCCATAGTCGATGCTATGTTAGTGAATACAACTTTAATTGCCCTATTACGCCGCCGCTACAATAAATATTTTACGTTCAATGACTAAGCGTGCTATTATTGTTGAATTAAATATACTATCAACTCATTATCCGTTAGCTTCTGGCAAAATTTGTAATCGGAATATCACCTCGTGCATCATCCAGATGAAAAGTCAATATTTTATATCAAGCTACCGAGTGCTGAATAGATCGTTCAAATGAAACAGCTCAAGAGTTTCATTTATACCTTTTTTTTGGGGGAATGAGAGCCGTTTAATAAGGCTTCCTTGGGGAACGTTCGATCTCAGAAAGATTTTTCTTTTCTTTGTCATTTTGATAACAAATTTTATACGCTTTGGTCTTCTCCATGCTAAGCGTTCCTAAGCAATACGGAATTCAAGATCGCAATGAATAGTGTTTGTTTTCTCGGTTGTTCGGCGAATAGCTATTTTATAGTAGGGCGGGGTAGGCAACCCCCAAGAAGTATAGGCAACCAGTGTTATGATACTGACTGATTTGTGCGGATTATACAGCTTGAAATCTGAAAAATATTTTACTCACTACCTGTAAATTATTGTTTGATGGTTTTCTATATCAATGACTACGATGTATTTTAAAGAAATTTTTCGAAGTAGGAAAATTCCTGTTATTATACACTGAGAAATAGCTTCACCAAATTCTTTATAAAGATTTCAGCTATAGTTCTCTGCTTACTCTTGTTCAATGTATATATAACGTTTTATGTTCCCTTCACCATATTATTATAGATCTTTGTAATCTTATTCCAAGTACGGCTTTTTAAAGTCTGGGAGATATTCCTTTCAACTTGTCTAGAATTTGTATTGGATGACCTCTTCCTTTTTTCGCATTTCTTAATTCACTGTTAGTCATTGTTGGGAACAACCGTCGATTGATTCACTGATTGTAAAAATAAAACATCATACACAGGAACGCATTTTAAGGGGGGTCTTCGAGGGCTTCATTAAAAAGATGAGTTGAAGTTTAATAATAAAAATCGTCAACAGGAGTGAACTAAAAGTTGGTATGTGGATTTACCTAAGTATTGTCCACATTCAAAAGTTGTTACTTAAAATTAATGTGCACCAGTGGCGGAGATACTGGGGATTAGTGGCATCATTTTTCCAAATAAAAATAGTACGCCACTGTTTTTTTTCGAAACGCGCGATTTTTCGAATTTTACCGTCAACTTGCTAAAAATAATTACTCTTGTTTTTGTGCTAGAGTGCACTGCTTTCGTAATAATAAAAATAAAACAAATTGGATCATTCATGAAGAGCCGAGATACAATTAGGTAGTTCCAAAATAAAATAGGAGGCC